CATTCGGGCGCTTCGATCCTTCCATCTTTTCTCAGATGCTCAACGCCTACATTCGGCCTCATTCTGAGTACGCCATCCACGACTCGCAGCCATGGCAAAAGCAAGACCTTACCGCTCTTGAACTGCCACAACGAAGGGCGACCAAGAACGTAAAGGGCCTGTTTCATCTCCCTTACCGATTGAGGCTGAAAACCCTCGGGGTCTACAGTGGACAATATCGACGCCTGCGTGGCGACTTGTTAATGACTTATACGATCCTGAGGAATCCAAACCATTGTTATCGTCACCTACTAAAGCTGAATAACCATACAACACTCAGAGGACACCAGCTAAAGCTGGCCACACAATACAGCCGGTTGGAATGCCGCCGGAATTTCTTTTCCCTTCGTGTATGCGAACACTGGAACGCTCTTCCCACATACGTTGTTTCTTCCCCCACGCTATCGCTATTCAAAAGACGTCTGGATGATTCGCTTATCCGCCTACATTACGCTATATAATCAGAGATGTCCACGTCAAACAAACGCGAAAAAACGGTGCTCATTCTCCGCTTCTGTGCCTCACTATTTACACACTGCTGTTGTGGAATATAGTTTCGGATATATTACAACTACCTTCATCAATTTACCCCAGTCCAAGAAAGCGGCGCACGAGTAAGCGTTAGTCGTTTCTCTTGTTCTTAATACATGCCTTAGCCGTATTACTACCCATATTACTCTACAGTAACAATACAGTACACACTCTACAACGTTTCTGTGAATAAGGGGCACTTGAATTCACTAGACGCTTAAACTGACGATTTACACTTATGTTTACTTTCACTTCAACCATCCTACGGGACTTGTAAAGCAATCGCTTTTTTACCTGTAATATATCATTGTTCATCATTGTTCATATCAGGTAGCGTAGAATAAAGCTTCTTGGGTACGAATTTCGCTGAAACATGCTAAATAGGTGGTCCTCCTCCGCCTTCCTCAGTTGCGGCGTGTTAGAGTGTATCTGGGCCCGTTTGAAAAGCGACCTCACGCAACTTCGCTGGTATATGGTCCGATGGTTACTGCGATCGTTTAAGATCTGATCGGTGTGCGTTGCCTGCCGATAAACTGTTGTTTCTCGTGACCCAGAAACATGTATTTTCACGAACACGCCCAAGAATGGCAACTGATCATGGTTCTCTTCCTCTTTGGTGACATGGACGCCGGAAAAAATATTATTGATTAGTTGATATGTTTCTTGTAGTCTGGAGCATTTGACGATGACAAAAGCATCGTCTATGTAACGTACCCAAGATTTTGGGTTCACTATTGGCAAGGCCTTCTGTTCCAAGGCTTACATCACTGTTTCTGCTACCAGTCCAGAGATCGGCGATCCCATTGGCGTACCCGCTATCTGTGTTTACATTTGGTCATTGAAAGTGAAATGTGTGGTGAGATAGAAGTCAAGCAACTACATCATTTGTATGGTTCAATTCTGTTGATGGTATTTACCGCTCCGTGTTGTTCAAGCAGAGTCCTCATTGTTTGCCTCGCCAGCGTCATGTCAATTGATGTGAACAAAGCTATAACGTCAAAGAAAACCATTATCTCGTCTCTTGCTATTGTTATTCCCTTAAGTTTTTCAAGGAATTGTTCTGCCGACTGGATTGAGTGCTCTGAGCCTACTATTAGATGTTTCAACCGTTTCCATAATTCCTTAGACAGCTGTTAATCTGGTGTCCCGGGTAATGACACGATAGGGCGAAGCGGTACCACATTTTTTGTACTTTGGGTAGGCCGTGGAACCGTGGTAGCACGAATCCTCGGGTTTCATCTTGCTGTCTTCTAACTTCGTGATCTGTCCCATTTGTTCCACTCTTTGAAGAGTTTTGTTGCTCTTGCTTTCCAGACGTTTTGTAGGGTCTTCACTTATCGGCTAGTAGATGCTCACATCTCTGAGCAGTTCTTGGGCTTTCTTCATGTAGTCAGTTTTGTCCATTATGACAGTAGTACGTCTCTTGTCGGCCGGTAATATAACAATAGTCTTGTTTTTTCTGAGGTTTGTCGGTGTCTTTCGTTCGCTTTCACTGAATATGTTGGTTTCCACTTTGTGATGCTGTGTCTAATTGCATGTTGGGCTTCAGCTGTGATGTTTGATGTGGTCAGCATTGATTTAAGTGCGGCAAGAAAATCAATGGGATTGTAGTCTTTGTATTTGACTTGTAAACCTCGCACAATAACTGCTCTTTCTGTATTTGATAGGGTTCGTTTGGATAGATTCCTAATCCATGCGTCTTCTTCGTTTGCTGGTTTGTGTTGCGAGATTCTGTCCAACTTCTTTTTCGTTTCTGTTTTGTTAGGAGCTTGGTCTTATGGGTACTAATGGCAATCGCTTTCTCAAGCCCTCAGGTTAACTTTGGACAAGCATATGGCCTTTTGTTGGTCGATTACTCGTTAATACTTTTGCCATTGTGTGCTACCGTGATCAGCAGACGAAGCATTCGTCGTCCATAAGGTGCGATGCTCTTCCAAGCCAAAGGATCGTTGATGGGTGGACGTTGGTGCATACTTGGTGGTAGGACAAATCTTCGCAAACACTCGTGCAGGAAGTAGAGTTACTCGTGAGTGGAGGATTGCCGGCTAGCAAAGGTCTCCCATCGGCGAGCGGATTTTAGCGCCTCGTGCTCGAATTGTTTGGAAATTATTGAGAATACCTATCTCGGGATGTGGATGAGAGGATTGTCCTGTCCTCTGAGTTGGGCATTTCTGTTGCAGACATTTCGTTACCAAACTAGGCAACATCTTCAGTTCGGCTATGCAGTCTTGATTCGTGGAGTCTCGCAAACCAATTCCAGATCCAAATGACTCCGCGATTCAGGACTGCATAGCTACATCGAAGATGTTGCCTAGTTTGGTAAAGAAACGTCTGCAACAGAAATGCCCGGCTCGGAGAACAGGACAATCCTCTCATCCACACCCCGATCCACAGGTATTCTCAATAATTTCCACACTTCCTATAAGTTTTGCGACCGTAATAGGATATGCACCTGCGACCCCAGACGTAGGAGGGTTTTGGCGGGTTTGCACCAATTTGACCAGGAGCTCCCTAACTTGAGGCGGGCAGTAGCAAACCATTGAGCACCTGGAGGTGCCCTCCCACCACCAGAGACTGCGTGGCGCTGGTGCTCTACGCCAATCGAGCGGCGAGTTTATAACCCGCAGACCTGTTGTCTTCTATCGCTAGGTTTTACGGGAAGATGGCTATCGACCACCTCTTATCGTCCGAAGAGGATGGACTAGGATACTGGCAAGGCGCCCACATCTGACAGGAGAATGACTTGGGTCCTCAGCGAAAGCCTTCGATTAAATGTACCACCGAAAGGCAGCAGGCCTAGCACATGATCAGTTCACTGACTCATGCGGATTGGTGTCCTGGATCTTAGCACGGAGATGGGCGTAACCCAACTTCCCCCCAGCGGTCGCGACGAGGCGTCCAGGACATCAGCCCATGACACAACAGTAGCGGCATTGGGTAAACCATCTGTCAGGATCTAGCCACCGCAAGCCTCAGCGCACCATAGGCTCTCCTGCCGAATGCGAAGTATACAAGGCCTGATACATGCATGTTATAACCCTAGTGTAAATCCCGTATAGCTACACAAACCTTTTCTTCAAATTATGTCACTAGCTTTCAGGCTATTCCGGAAAACGCGTCGAGATGTCAACGCACGGGATAGTCCATTCAGAAGAGACCTGAATTGATCTATGTCACCGGTTGAAATACCTGACACTAGATTACCAACTACTAAATTGTAGGATGAGGATGTATTCGTCGCAGCGCCTACTATCTTGCTATCCTCATTGAAGTGTTTTGTTGCCTTTATAATGTGGATATCAGAATTCAAACAGGAGTATGAGTGAATATGCCAGCGACAGCTTTTGCAACTGCGTTACCATCTTTTCCCCGACTTTAAAAGCTTCGTTTTCACTCACCGCTTTTGCCCCGAAAGCGGAGGGAAATCATACCCTGAAAACTCGCAATTCTTGCACTCGTAGCCATCTACTCGCAAACCCTTTTTCACACCTTGCACTGTAATTTTAACTGATTGGGCAGCATTCGGCATAGCGCCTAATAGTGGGAAATGCTTTTCTTTTCTACGCACCGATTTCAGTCAAGAAGCGGATAGAAATCAGACAGTTGATCATCCGATGTCTACATCGGATGAGAGCAAGAGCTCTCAGGAATGATTTACTCACGGGTACGACATTTTGCACACAAAATTGTTGCAAATAATAGAAAAGCAATAACAGTGACCATACTGAAGGTGACTAAACAGGGATTAACCGGGACGGGTACGTAACAATAAGGGACGCAAACCAGAATCAGTCTATTTACTCCAGAACGGATATATATATATATAATGTATATGCATATATAATCAATTACTAGTCATGCGCGGCCCTAATGACAGCAAAAGTGTGCCCATGCGGCCCTCATGGGGTTCCTGAGTTTTAGGTGAATGCTCTAGACAACTTTACATAATGGTTGCTCTGTGGTTGCGCTAGAGAGTGGCACGGTCTGCGCTGCTTTGCATACTTGGCCTCGAGTTAAAAGAAAGCAGAAACAATGCTTCCGCTACCAACAACCTAGTGCCTTGGTTATTAGAGGAAACAAAGGTACCAGCAGTACGGCGGTACGGAGCACCGACGCTTCGCTGCAACGCAACCACCAACAGTCGCGCGTGGACTAAGGATAGTGCGAATGTCGCCCGATCACTTACACAGGCTCGTACCCACGACCTCGTGGGCTGAAAGGCAGGCGTGTTATCCTTAAGGCCACGGGCTGTGGTTACTGCTTCAAAAGGAACAGCATCCACATTGCTGGAATACCACATAAAATACAAAAATAACATAGCATTCCTTCCACGTGCCCTCAACACTATTTGCATATCGTATTATTGGTAGATAACTTGAAACCCGCCAACCTCCTGGTAGATAGAAATCGGAAAAGCGAGCAGAACTCACGTGGTATCGATCGAGTTGTAAGAGTTCACTCTGGACCGGCTCGAATGGCAACAACACATGAAAACGTTCTGGGATGTGTGTGTGTGCAGCCGATAAGGTGCGACGTAAGTAGGCCAGCTCGCGATAAAACACGCTGCAAAAGGAAAATGTGGCACCAATGAGACAAACAAGGTGATCATACAGCAGAGTTAGAAATGCACAAGCGCATGGAGAAGCTACCTCGACTTCTTAAACGCAGCATTGGTAAAATGTTAGATGACAACAAATAAGTCCAACTGAATCTAATTATTCAAGCTTGCCTAGAAGACTGAGTTCAATGAATAATGAACAATGAATTTATACAGGTTAAGAAGCGTTGCTTTACAAGTCCCGTTGGATAGTTGGTGGGGATCTCAACATAACAATAATAATGATAAGGATAGTAAAATAGTTAATACTTTAAATATGAAAATAAGGACTTATCGTTCGCTTCGCTGCAGTCCTGCGATCCTCTTAGATTCACAGCACCCACAGTTAACAACAAATAATTCCATGGTAAACTCCAGGTGTAGGATGGAGACGTAGTGTTAAGTGACAAAGTGTAAGTGAATGAGTGCATCGTCCAACCGCCTTTTAAATACTGTTAGTGTCGGTGCAGTGACGACCGATTCTGAGAGAGCATTCCACGGGTGACAGACACGAATGGAAAAGAAATTTCTGTGGCACTCCAAACGGCTATACTGTACAGCGAGTTTCAATGAGTGGCCCCTCAGGTTTGTATTGCTGCTGAGTTGCAGTAAAGGGTGGCATACATGATGTGACTCTCGCAGAATCAAGTATGCCATAATCAGGTCGCCACGTAGTCTGCGATAGCTTCCACTGAACAATCCTAGTCGTCGCAGCCTCTCCTGGTAGGACCGATTGCGCATTCCAATTACGTTCTTAGATGTCCGATGTTGTGGCTGCTCCAGTGCATTAAGGTCGTGTTTCAGCCATGGATGCCAGGCTTGAATTGCATATTCGACATGGGGGCGAATATACGCGCTGAGCATTTGTCGAAATATGGAGCTGTTTATTTGTCCAAACGCCCGTCGCAACATTTCGACGTGTTGGTTCCCAGTCTTCGAGGCCTTTTCGGATTGCCTGGAGCAACCCAAGTCATCTTGAACCAGGACACCCAAGTCACGTTTGAGAGTTGATCGTTCTAGTATATTCGTTCCGAGCCGGCATGAGTAGCTGCTCTGATGTCGGATGGAAAGCACCTTGCATTTACTGACGTTGAAATGCAATGAGTTTTGGGTCGACCATTGGTACATTGTATCTAAATCACTCTGAAGCACATGTTGGTCGGCGTTCGCCTGAATCCTGCGCCAGATCTTGATATCGTCGGCAAACATTAGGAAGTTTGAAACGATTCCCTGTGCAAGGTCATTAATAAACACCAAAAACACGTGGACCTAAAACTGAGTCTTGCAGCACACCAAACTCAACTTGTATGGGGTCCAATAAAAAGCTCCGAACTCTGAGCACTAATTGTCCTTGAAGTAGAAAGTTGGCGATCCAGCTTAAAAGAGGGTCGCTGATCCCGTAATGCTGGAGCTTGGATAGTAGTATCCGATGGTCTAGACGATCGAAAGCCTTGGAAAAATCCAGGTAGATCACATCAACACCTTCTCCAGCGTCAGCTGCCTCGGTGCAACTACTGCGGGCAATTAGTAAATTCGTTGTACATGACCGCTGTCGACGGAAACCGTTCTGTTCAGGAGTGATGGAGTTGCAGTTTTCCAGATAGCACACTAATGCATCGGCAATTATGGATTCCATTATCTTGGAGAGTATAGGAAGAAGGGATACTAGGCGGTAGTTGGAGGGGTCAGTTCTGCTTCCATCTTTGTGAATCGGGCTTATTATTCTAAGCTTCCACATAGCGGGAACTTGGTTCTGGTCTAAGCAGCGCTGGAAAAACTGAGCTAAAGGTCCTGCCAGTTTGCATGCTGCTGCTTCCAATGCCTCTGGACGAATGGTGTCGATATCCGGTGAGCTGTGTTTGCGTAGAGAAGTCAGCTTTTGCAATACAGCCTCAGCGGTGAAAGTGATGTGGGTTAGTTCTGGAGAGGAGACGACAAAGCTTGGTAGATCGCTTGGTGGTAAGACTCTTTGAAACGTGGGGACGTATTGCATCCGCAGCGCGTTTGCTGCTTCCACAGTCGTTCTTGTTGGGCCATCAGCCATCTTGAGTGGAGGAAATCCTTGCCTCATCTTTCTTAGGCTATTAACGTTCTTGCACAGCAGTTTGTGGTTAGCACTGAAGGTTTTTGCGATGTTCTGCTGATAGGCGACTTTGTCATCTCTTAGCAGCTGAGTGTAGTGGTTACGTTGGGCTACGTAGTTGTTTCAAGTTTCTGGTGCTGGAGCTTCTCTGTACACTCGCCATGCTGCGTTGTGTACTGTCATCCATTTTCGAGTTCTGCTCCTAACGAAAGAAACTGATTTGCACTTATTGCAGGCTTTTATCTCTGAAGCCTGTGCAATCAGCTGACTGAATTTGTTGACGAACTCGAGCCAGGCGACTTCCGGGGGTTCTTCTTCGAGGAAAGACCAAGTTGTGGCGCTGACGAGCTGGGCGAGTCGGTCGTACCTTGTGATGGTTCGCACAGTCTCATCGCACTCAGTCCGATATTCTGCATAGCAGACGAAGTTGAAACTGATGACTGCGTGATCACTGCGACCCAACGGGCAGGCTAAAACCAACGCATCAATCATTTGCCCCTTGTTGATAAGCATAAGATCCAGCACAGATGGCCTGTTACCAGTTCTGAACCGAGTGGGCAAAGTGATGTGATTTTAAAGAGGAACAGTAGTTACTAGATCTGGTAGATCGGTTTTGAATTGTTCTCCGTTCGTGGCAGGGGCTTCTAAATGATGTACGTTGAAATCACGCATGATAAGAATGTGAGTGTGCTTTTGTTGTAAACTGCACCATAAAGGAGTCGCTAGGTGGTAGTCGGTTTCGGATGTTGAGTTAGGGGCGCCGTACACCAAGACAATAAGGAAAGCGTCCCTGCCTTTTATCTGCAACCGGCACCAAAGAGATTCGAGGAGCTGCGAGTCTGAATCCTCCACGGCTTCGCACTGTAAGTCGTTTCGATAATACAGGATTACCCCTCCTCCTTTTGTGAGCCTGTCGTTCCGGATCAGCGACATGCCGGGTAGCGAAACTGCGGCGTCCGTCATTCCCGTGTGCAACCATGTCTCGGTGATACCAATGACATCATACGAGCCGGAAGCTTGGCGATCTTTCAGTTCAACCAGTTTGTTAGAAAGACCCTGAGCATTTGTATACAAGCAGGCCAAATTCTCGGTCTCTAGGAGCCGGCAGAGAGGTGAAGCTGTCGAGTGTGGGAGAATGCCGACCGATGGGAGGTCGGCAGTTACTCGTTTTTTCTGATGTGTCAATGATACCTCGTTTGCAACTTGATTCGGCCAACGTGCGTCCCAACCTTCGTTTAGACTTACGTCAGAGTCAATTAAAGCAGCAGTCAAGTTATGGTTTTGTACATTCGTCGGTATGCTTGCTGCTTCAGTTGCTTTAATATTTGAGCTGTGCAAAGTTTTTGCGACCTTTAACCGAATTTCGGAAGGAAGATGTTTCCGATTTTTCCGCCATCGATCCAAAACATCCTTTGCGTTTTGCTCTGACTGAACCACAAGTTTTAGGATTGTAGGGCCGCATCCTCTATAATTTGGTGAGAAAGGTATCCTGGTGAGCGATAGTGCCACAACATTATCCAAAGAAAATGTTTCAAGAATGAACCGCCACTGTTCTAAATCGTGCTTTTCGGTCTCTTGAACATCGTTAGAAGGATGTTCTGGCACGCCATGTATGAAGATTGTGTTTAGGCAGTCTTGCTTGCTGTACCCCTCTTCGGTGTTTCGTTTTGGTTGTCGCGCGCTCCAAGGGACATCAGGATAGATATTTATCCCACAGGAGCCGTGTTTTAGCGCGCTTGCGGAGAGCAAAACGTTTTCTACATCGGTGGAGGTTGATTGAGTAGTTACGAATCGCGCCGCAATGATAATGAAACTAAATATACTAATGCGCAAAACTGAGACCAATACAATGGGATAGGTACCAGAAGAGAGCAAAAAGATATAATCGTTCAATGAGATTGCGATAAACAAGAAACAATGTGCAAGACCTTCGCTAGGTTCATGATCACATGCTGTTGGTGAGGATGTATAACCAAGCAATGGCTGAATCCATGAGCCCCACCATCGAAACAGACGATATGCATTGGCTTGGCCAAATCAATCAGGATGTGAAGAACATGATACCAAATTAACTTGGTTGGGCTGATACGGAGCAAGGTTTGCTGTGCTTAGTGCTACGTAAATACCCGTGGTCATATAGGAACAATCGCTTAGTGAATTTAATCTGCGGTGTCCATGAATCTATTCGAATCGCATTGTTTTGCACCTTGCCTTTGACTAGTAAGCCAATACCCGACCATCGCAGTGGTTGGCTGAGGTGTTCAAAAACCAGACGGGAATAAAGTACCAACAGGACTTTGAGATGTTTTGGTCCAACACTAAGCTACTCTACAGACAGTGAACAACTTCGTAGATTTTTGTGTTGCTCTCCAAGCTGAGTGGGTATTTTGCAGACGTTTTGTTGACAGACAAGGCAACATCAGCAGTGCAGCTTCAGGGGCCTGGTTCGCAGTGCCTCGTAAGCGACTTTAAGGTCCAAATGCTTACTGATCGAGTACTGCTATGAATGACAGACTTCAATGAACTCATGTGCCTGCCGGCTTTTCGCCCTTTCTGGTGTTGGCGTGCTCCAGGTCGAATTGGTGATTCTTAGTATCCTTATGCACGGACATCAAACAGTTCTGATCGTGGCGACGAGTGACTAGGCTGTGTTCGTGTAGCCTTGTGCCAAGCTTTCTTCTAGTCTGTCGCACCTTGTAGTTGTTACAGTTCCGGCAGCAGCTCGTATAAATCACACCAGTTGTTTCCTCCTTGCTAAGTTTGGCTTTCACTTTGGAAAATTAAGTACGAATCGTCTCCGTTGCTTGGTGTGCAAGAATAAAAGCCTCGCTGTCATTTCTGAGATTCCATCGCTCTCTTTTCAACTGTTTTACTTGTTATGGT